CTTCGAGGCCTCCCCCTGCTAGGCCAGCTCGGGACTGGGGGGGGGCAGCCCCCTGCCACCCCCCTCCCCACCGTCCACATGGAGAGGGACTGCAGCATTGGGCGCAGTGGGCACAGGCCCCTGCCTCCCCCACCCCACTGCTGGGACCAGCCATGCCGTTCGCCCCCCTGGCAATGCCACCGGAGCTGCCGCGGCACCGACACCAGAGTGGTCCCCCAGCCCTTTTGCCTGTCGCCTCCGCTTGCCCCCAGCACACGGGCTCGACCCCGTCTCAAGCACACGGCGTGGAGGGGGATGGGCACACTGGGGGGGCTGGGGGGAGCAGTGGGGTGCAGAGCAGAGGGGCCCTGGCGATGCAGAGCATGCAGGGGGTAAGCTGGGGTTCCTGCGAGCCCCTCCAAGCACTCCCCTGCTGACCCCTCCTGGGTGGGGGTCTCTGCCCTGCATGGTTCCCCCCCAGGAGAGAGACGTGCCTGGAACAGCTTGTCCCCACCCCAGGGACCACCGCCCCCCCACCTTCCTGCTGCAGGGCAGGGCAGCATTGCAGGGCACCCCTCTGAGCCGCACGGCCCCCTGGCCAGCCCAGGGACACCCCACCTGCAGTCACACCTGCATGGCACCACCCTGACCCCCAGCACCACCACCACTGTGACACCCCCCAAACATCTGCCCAAACCCCCCCCCCCCCTCCCCCAGCCTCATGCAGCCTGCCAGGGCTGCAGCCCCCCTGTCACTGTTCCCAGGCAGACCCCTGCACTGTGACCCCCCCACACTCCAGTGTTGGCCCCCGATAGCTCCCAGGCACTGCAAACCTACTGCCTTCCCCCTCTCCTGTCCCTAGTCCACCGTGACCCCCAGCCCTCCCCATCCTCTCCTTGCCCAGGTGTTGCCCAAAGCGGCTCATCCCTTGGTGCAGCCGCCGGGCACAGCCCAGGCAGCGCAGGGGGGTCCTGCCCTCGCTCCCCTGCCTGTTGCCGCTCTTTTGCACCGTGCACGTACCCCTTGCCATGCTCCCAGCCCCCGGGTGCTGAGCACCCGCTGTGCCTCCCCCAGACTGTACACAGTTAGGAGGGTGCCCCGTGCCCAGCACCGCCCGGACAGCCACAGCCCAACCCGCCAGCCGGAGCCTCAGCCAGGACCGGCACTCACAGCCCTCCTGCCTGCCCCGAGATGGCAAGCCCCATGGCAGGACCCACGGCAGGACCCACAGTGCTCCCCCTGTCCTGTCGGACATTGCCTCCTCCCCCTCCACTGCAGCAGACACCAGCGCAGGGCAAACTGCCCCAAAATATCTCAGGGGGGGGGCGGGCTGGCAAAGCCCCCCTTGACACACACATGCGGCAGAGAGGGGGACCCCAGGGCAGGAATTTGGGACCTCTAGGGGAGGCTGGGGTTGAGCCAGATGGCCCCTGGCCCTGCTGGTTTGGTCCCCATCCCCGGTGCCCGCAGACAGAACATGGCCATGCCACGCCATGGCCAAAGCCATAGATGCAGGAGGAACCATCATCCTTGCAGCCCCGAAGGCCCCACACATGGGAGACACAGGACAGGGACTGGAGCACCAGCCTGGTGACGTGCCCGGCAGCCCTGGCTTTGGCTGTGCGTGGCCCAATGGCCCCCCACAACATGCACCCATGTGGAAACATGTTCCCTGCTGGTGCAAGCAGCTGGCTGCGTGGTGTCCCGTGTCCCCGTGCATGGGGGGGACACACAGCAAGCCTCCCGGCAGGGCAGAGACAGCAGTGCTCCCCAGGGAGCCCCTCCAGAGCACCCCGTGCCAGCTCCCCATAGGGTCCCCCCACACCCACCTGCGAGCAGGAGTGTCCCCGGAGGGGTGCCACGTGTTAGCCCAGGGCTGTGCCACGGCCGTGCCAGCCAGCCCTACACCAAGGTTCTCCTGTGGCGGGCAGGGGGTGCAGGATGCGGCTCCCTCCCTGCCGGCGGGAACAGCGAGCCCCGAGCGGGGTGGGCACGGGCACCACAGCGAGAGGGCTGGCACAAGTGCCCTCGTGCTGGTAAACGTGAGAGATGTGCGTCACTGTTTTATAAATGTACAAAATCTCCCTAATAAAGAGGCACAAGTAGGTCCGGAGCCACCTGCAAGGGCTGGGGGCATCAGGCAGGGCTGGGAGGGGCAGAGAGGTGGGGGAGCTGGTCCCACCCCGGGGGGAGGTGGTGGTAGGACCCAGGGAGCACTTTACAGCCCTGCACCCATGTGCTGGGCACCCCGAGAGCCAGCATGCCGGGTCGCCCCAAGGCGAGCATCTCTGCATCGCTGCCCGCAGGGAGCTTTGCCCGCTGTCCGGCTCTTTGAGCCCTGGCTTGTGGCAGAGGTGCGGCGATTGCTGGCTGCGCGTCAGCAGTGGGAACTGCCAGCACCGTACCCTGGCCCTCGAATTGCTCCCCTGGGCAGAGTGGGCACCCCACCAGCGCCCCATTGGGCTGTATCAGCCCTGAGCAGGCGGTGCGGTGGGGAGGATGGGCTCCTGCACCCCCCCGGGGGCTGCTGCAAGGTGGGAGGCAGATTGGGAGGGCAGAAACATGGGCTGGGGGTGCTTTGGGGGGTGGTCCACAGATGCCCCATGCCAGAGTGGCGCCCTGCACCCCTGCCAACACCCAGTATCCCATGCAGGACCCGCTTGCCCATGGCGTGCCCCCCCCCCCCCGTACCCCACCCACAGCCCCTCTGCTCCCACACCTCTTACCAGCGCCAGGCACAGCGCCTACCAGTTAAAGGCCAGTGCTGACACTGGCACTGCCCTGCACGGGATCACCAGCACGGTGCCAGCAGCTGCCGGCTCCTCCGGCACCCGCTGTGGGCCATGAGCCCCGTCCCCCTGGGGGGTTACGGTGCAGGTGAGATGCCAGGGCTACCATCAGCTGTCACACAGCGGGACCTCCAGCAGGACCCCTATGGGTGTCGTGGGCAAGGGGTGCAGGGTGAAACTGAAACGGGGGAGGTGGAGGATGGGTGGGGGCGGAGGGGGGCCCTGCTGGGGCCAGGCCCTGGGGCTGTCCGCAGCAGAGGTGCTGCTCCAGCTCCTGCCTCCTCTGCACCCTGCTCCATCCGCCCCGGCCACCCTGCGGCACAGAGAGAGGGGACAAAGCAGGAGACAGGAGCTGGCCTCATGGTGGAGGCTGCCAGCACTGGGTACAGCAGGTTTCCCTCTAAACCAGCAAGGGCTGAAGATGCCCAGGTTAACTGGGTGCAGCTGGACCCCACCCCACAGCTCACACCATGCCCTGCCCTTAGGTTGGGTCCTAAAGGGAAAAGTGGAGAAATAGCTTCATCCGCCACATCTTTCATCACCTGGTAAGAGGATCAGGTCCCTTTGGGGTCCCTTGGGATGAGGCTGTCCCTGCCACCGGGTCCTGACCCATCTGCCCCTCCGGGATCCCCTGCCACGAAGCCACCTTCATCCGCACCAAGGCTGTGACCAGGAGCTTCTGCTGACTCCTGTCCCGCAGCGAAGAGGTGTCGGAGCAGCTGAGGAGGAGAGCAGGACCGCATGGCGCTGGGGGTGCTGGAGGACATGCTGAGGAAGGACCAGGTCCTGATAAAAAACCTGAAGGACATGGTGGTGCTGGCGGGGAGGGCAGGGGAGCGAGGGCTGGGTGCAGCGCTGTGCCATGCTCACCGAGATGCTGCTCTGGTGCCTCATCTCCCAGCTTTGGCAAGCAGCTTTCCAGAAAAAAACCCCACAAAGCCAGATTCTATGCCTATGAGAAAATAAAGGTGATTTTGGAGGAGCAGGAGTGTGGCGTGGCCAAAGGAAAGGCTGAGCCTTGTGGATGGCCCGTCCCAGCTCCCCAAGGCTGCCAGCAAAGTGGCCTCAGGACAGGTCCCGGGACCCCTGTAGTGGTGACCTAGCGAAGATTTGACATAAAGTTATTTTTATCTGTTGCTGTCAGCACCTCTGTTCTTTAATTTGGTAACTTCCCGGTGGCACCTGGAGGTGACACCTCCTGTAGAGTCTCCCACCACCTCCAAACAGGACGGGCAGGTGAGGTGACCCCCGTGTCCCCCCTGCCTGCGCTGTGCCTGATGTCCCAGTGCAGATGGTGCTGGGCCGAGGAGGACCAGCGGGACGACCCAGATTTAGCATCCCAGGGCCAGCCCCAACCCCATCGCTGTGGCCCCTGGGTGCCCCCACCCACGCTGTGCCCGCCCAAGGGCCACAGGGGGTCCGGTCCTCTCCAGGGATGGGGCCACTGCCACCTGGGGCTTGCCAGGCTGCAAAGTGATGACAGTCCAGCCCAGCGCTGCTTGAATCACCTGTAATGAGCCACACGAAATAGCTGGGGCATAATTAGAAGGGGATCCACTATAGTGAAACAGGCCCTTAATTTTAACGAGCGCAGCCCTCTGGACAAATGCCAGGCACCCAACCGCGGCAGGACCGGCTGCACTGGCAATGGCTCCTGTCACCGTGGAGGTGACAACCCCGGCAGACTCAGCTCCTGCGGGATGTGGTGCCAGCCCTGGGGAGGGGACACCAGTATAGAGCAGCCGGTGAGGATCCCTTCTGCCCACGGGACAGGCATCTCCTAGGCACTTCCGACAGTACCTTCCCTGCAAC